AAGTTTTTTGTGCAATAATGCAGGGCTTCTGTAGGTTTCACCAACTCAAATTTAAGACTTTTTAAGAAAATTCATAGAAATTTACAAACTTTGTCCAACCAAACGGCACTTAGCCATTAGGTGTAAAAAAAAAACAACAAAAAACTAGGTAACTAACAACAATATGTTAGCAGTGAGTTGGCCTCAAGCGTCTCTCGTCCCAGAACGTTATGAAGATGTCATGTGACTTAAACTTTTCCCTGACAGAAAATTCCAGTGAGAAAAAAGACAAAACATACAAGATTAAGTTCAAAACTTTAACTTTACATTAATTTAAGACTTTTTGCAGATGAGTGGACACTACTGTGATGTATTGGATACTTTTGTAATCCTTGAAATCAGAATTAATATGGCGAACGTTGGAGCTTACCGAGCAGCCCACAGCTCCGTGCCATACTGACTGTAAAGACAACGTAGTTAAAGCTTCAGATATAAACTATTAGATCCTCAGCACACAGTGGGATTTGTGAACCTGTCTGTCTGTGTTTCAATGCAGAAAAATGAGATGAATGTTTTCTGTATATATTGCTAATGCAAGCCACAGAAACAAGTCTCAAACGTCGTTCTGTCTTGGAGAAGGGCGTGCACTGAGTGATGCGCGGCATTAAGAGTTGTGCCACATAAAGTTTGACAATTTGGGCCAAAAAGTTGAATTTTAGTTCAACCTGACCAGAGTAACATCTTCCATACAGTTGCTTTCTTGCCACTCTTCCATGAAGGACAGCTTTGTCGGATGCTGACTATCGGTTGTTCTCTCAACGGATTTTCACTCCTGAATTATGAGCCTGTCGGCTGCTTCTCTGACACATCCTGTCAGCCTCGCAGTTTCCCTTTTCAGATAACAGATATTGTTTTATAACCTGGAGCCCTTTTGAACTTCTCCACAACTTTCTCCCTGCTGTGTCCCTCGGTCTTCTTTCATTGGACAGTTGAGCACTGTTATGTAGAGCTGCAGAAGTATATCTGTGATAACATAAAGTGGAAAAAAGTTTGAGTGTAATTACCGTATGTGGAAGATTGATGCACTTAGAAGAGAAACAGCACTTAAAACTTCAATCTAAAAAAAATGTTTAAATACTCCAGTTTCTTGTAGCGAGAAGGACGACCTGATTTCTCTGGTGTAACGTAGAGGACACAGTGTGATCTAATTTTGGGTCATTTTACAATCAGCGCTGCGCCCTTCTTATATTGTGTCAAGATTTGTTTGAGCACACTTGTGTGACAAACACGGCTTGCATTAAACAATTGACCCCGTTTTCCCTCTCTGGAGAGGCTTGTTAAATGGGCTACACTAATAATATTCTGATACATTACGCCAAGTGTAACGGTATATATACAGTAGATGAACAAAAATCTAAACTAATGATAGAATGTGCCCCACTTGTGACTGAAAATAAAACGGAATAAGGGTCAATTAATCTCCGCAGACAAAATAAAGAGAAACCCAAATAGGAAAAGTCGCAGAACTGCAGACGCGGTCGCGACAAACATCCGCTCAGTGCCACTTATCATCCGAAATAAACCTCTGTCATTTAAAAGCAAGGGGTGGGGTGGAGGGGGGTAGGTGGGGAACTGCAACATCTTTACAACTTCCACGAGATGCAGTAAATTGTGCTTTTATGGGTAATGCGCCCATTAAAGAGTAAAAAGCAATCTGAGACGTCAAGACAAATGACAGCTTTTGAGTGCCATCTGCAATCTCGAGCTTCGCAAACTCAATTATTCATAATGCATTTATGAAGTCCGCTGAGACTGCGCTGTCATTCCTGTTCAAACTAACGGGAAAAGCAACATAAAGGGACAAGCTCCTACCGGATGACAATAGCTTCACCGACGGCTCTGGTGTGTTTATGCTGCCACCTGCTGGGTGAAAACCATAGCACAGACCACACGCAAAAAAACGACTTCAGCCAGAATTCAGGAGCTTTTTATTTCTCAATAAAATGGTCATTTCTCTGGCTCATCATATCAATATGATATAACAGCTTGAGCTCGATTCGTCTGAATCTTATTGCAGTGTCCCGCAATGTCGCACGTGTTCGGTACAACCCGATACTCGTAGCTGTCCCCTCATTATGTCAAGTCACGGAAATCCAACAGAAATCAGAGAGGCTGTGGGTTTACCAGGATCACGTTTTCACCGCGGATGAAAAGCTGGTTGATGTGGCGCGTGTGCACCTTCCCGTACTTGTTCTTCTTCTTCTGATGGGCCGCTGGATCCCGGCCCTTCACCGAGACGACGCCTGTATCACGTTTGCTTCCGACGTCCTCCGACGGCTCGGGTTCCGCCGCCCCGCCATCATCATCTTCCCTCGGCTCGCCGCCCCCCGGGGTTTCCTGGAGATTTAGCTTCTCAAAGAGCTGGACGAAGAGTTGGGTGGCATTAATGCTCGACAACAAAAGCAAGACAATAACAAAAACAAAAAACACTTGAAAGGCTTTATGTAATCAAACTCGCATGCTGAGTACATTCTTTGTCAGGTCATTTGCTGTTGAACATATTTACAGTTTCTAAGTAAAGACCTTGTTTACAGTCACTGGTGGGTGTATGAATGATAATTTGAAGGGTTCAAATCGTCGCTGTACGGGGAACACCTACACGATGTGACTGCATGCAAATATTCACCGGATCTGAAAGGTTAGTGCTTACTTATCAATATTTGATTTTTGTTTTTTTTCTCTGACTAGACAGAAGCAAAGCCTGCCTTCTCAGATGATATTTTTTAGACGCAACTCAAAGGACATGTGCAGGTACTTTGTGTTATTATCCAACATTTTTCTTTTAAAGATTCATTTTGATTTGTCAGATTTTTTTTCTTAGGAAGTATGCACCTGCATCCAGCTCCTGCCCTATTGGTGCAAAGTTGTTTCTATTTTTTAACTGTGTTCTAGGGCCGCACATAATCGTCGCAAGGGCCAATAAGGACACACGGACCACCCTTTGGACAGCCCTGCCTTGAAAAGTTACAGATGTTTAAGACTTAGGGCAATATGGCTTAAAAATTTAAACCAAATCTGATTTATGGTTTGGTTATACCAATTATACTTGCATTTTTTTTTTCCTTAAAAAAAGTTATGACAGAAAATATGTTAAAGAACTGGCTTTTATTTCAGTCAATCACTCTGTGTGCTGACTTGAATTAAAAGTCAGTAAAAATATAAATAAAAAGAAGCTGTAAATCAAGAAGGTGGTTCTTCGGTAAGATCTGAACTATTGAAACCCCGGACTTTTTGTTTCCTTCAAACTAAAACGTCCAGCAGCTCAACACCCTCAACTCGCTTTGACTGAATCTCGTTATTTCAGTTAGGGTGAAAGAAAAAAAATAAATAAAGTGTATACCCGTGAAATGGTGAGAGCCTTCTCGTGGTACAACGCCTCCCCAAGTAGAGGCTCTCTGTACGTCTCATCGACATCCACCATGGCCTGAAAAACACAACCCGGCATTGAACGAACATATAGCACAAAGACATGCATCGTGCAGTGAAAATACTTTTTGGGCGTCTGCTCACCATGTTCCAGAACTTGTCGAAGACGACGACGAAGCCGGAGCACACGCCCCTCAGGCCTTTAAAGGTCCTGATGTGAACTCGGACTCTGATCCTTTCCTCTACGCAGCGGTGCAGCTCCCCCAAAGGACTGCCCTGACACACTGCAGACACGCAAGCAGCAGGTCACGCAGCCGACTCATAAAACATGTAGAGAATTCAGGTAAAGCGCAGAAACATTTCTCCTCGAGTAAGCCCATTTTTATTTACTGCCAATAGTGACGCACAATATATTCGCATTGACATTGGTTGATGTTAGTCATTTTCTCACATGCTGGTTCCGGTACAATCACAAAACTAGGGCGGCGTTAACAACCGATTTTGATTTTCATCTTGCTGCCGTTTCAGTTTATGGAGGAGATGTTTATTTGGTCATGTGACAGTGATAGTGATGCAGCACAAGGTGATGGTCATTTTGTTTAACTGAAGCAGAAAAGCAGTGTCAGCAAGATGGTCATTTTACACCACCTTAAAAATAGGAAAACAAATGTAGTGGTAAATATTGGTTATCGGCAATATTAATATCAGGATCTGCCTAAGTTTTCATTTCGGTGCATCCCTAACAATATCCAGAATACAGTAGGGGTAGTGACAAATCCGTCACATACATTTTAGTCATGCACTTCACAAAACCGACCACGTTTGAGATATTTTACAGAGAGGGGCCAAACAGTATCTACACATCTTCAGAGCTGTAATTGCTATGAGCATATGCGACCATTGACCTGAAGAAAAGTGCACTCCACACTTTTCAGAATTTTTGATCTAACAAAACTGCGAATGAATTTCTAACAACGTGTTTAAAACCGAAAAAGTAAACAAAACAACAACAAAAATCACTCCACCAAACATGGTGGTTGTGATAAGCAGAATTTTTGATCTAACGAAAAGTTGCCTTGCAACTTGTTTGCAAGGCACTTGAACGCATCCTGCTTTTTGATATCACGCAGCAGCCGCGTGACAGAGGAACCTACAAGGCATCCTCGTCAGGACGTTTTTCAGCGGCTTCTGCCTCCTTCTCGCCCGCGGTGCCGCTCCGCTGCCGTCCCCTTCCTCCGACACCGAGCTGTTGACCATCAGCTTCTTCAGCCTCTCGATGCGCTCCGGGTCCGCCACCCCTTTCGCCGCCTTCCGCCGCCTTTTCTCCACGTTCTCGGGCTTCGCTCGGCCCCGGCCGCCCTTCAAGAAGCTCTCGTACTCCGCCACATTGTTTAAGCACTTGATGTTGGGGAAGGGAAGCGGCGGCGTTTCCGGGGAGTACAGGGCCAGCAGCGGGTCAAACTTCTCAGAGCAGACATTTAATTTATTTGCCCGATCGTCTCCCGCGTCTGCCTCCGGCCCCGCGGCTGCTGACGCGGAGTGTTTGCTGTCCGGCCTCGCGCTTTTTCTTTCCCTCTCCTCCATGTTCGAAACAAGCGGAACGCCATGAAGCGAGGGATCCTGGGAAAGTTGTGGCTGTCATGAGTTTGTCCTTTCTGTACACTTCATTATTTCAGTGCTTCCCTAAAGACGCCATAATGCGTATTTTCCCCTAAATATTGTTATTTATTTAGCCCAGTTTTGTCTCCTAAAAGTCGAGTACAAAAAAAAAGGAAATATTTTTAATTGGACTACAAATCCCATACCTCTTCATTACATCTTGTTTATCAGTGACTGCGTTTCTTGTGTGGGAGGAGTTATTTTTGCCTGGGTAACATTCTTATAATTAAATATTTTTTATTCTTAAAATGATATAAAAAATATTGCGACTCTCGTAATTTTCTAACAAAATAACTGGTGATTTCAGCGCGAAGTGAGTGGCATAAATCGTGTGAAAAGTCACTCTTCTCGGCGCAGCTCTGCTTGCTGGAGCGGCTGACAAATGGTGCGCACCCACTTGCGTACGTTTGTGTAACTTCGTTCCCATTTGCATTATATTAATCCGCTCAGGTCGTCGCCAGATATAGGCTACATTAGATGTTATAAAAAATGAAATATATCGCTATATCGCTCCAATGAACAGCAAGTAACGTATTGGGCTTGATTGAAAACCAAATATTGATCAAGCCGGAACCTTTGTGAGGGAAGTTCAGGAGGTGGCACTGCAAGTACGGCATATTTGGTCGACGGACTGTACACAAAGCAACGTGAGTTATCGTAGGATAGGTATTTTAGAATATCTGTCATTAAATAGGTATAAAATAAACTTGACTGGGTGTCAGGAAGCTGATATTAACAAGACAGTTGTGTCTTTAGCTTATCTGTATGTTTAATTGTCGCATAAAGGATTAGCTAAGGCGCTACTAGCTAATCGTTTCATAACTAATATCAGTCTGTTTTGCAGTTATGTTATAGTAAATTTAACCAAATTAATTTATTTATAACAAACAGAATTGTTGTCATGTCGAAACCCTTAAATAATGGCAACATGTCGTCTGTGTTTTCCCTTCCTGCAGACTCTGGATGCTGATAGAAAGACTTGGTGCAGCAGGAAGGTCCTGTTTCTCCGCAGCATCTCTGCGTCCGTTCTCCAGCTCCAACGCTATGGCGAAAAGCAAGTTCGAGTACGTCCGCAGCTTCGAGACGGACGACACCTGCCTCCGGAACTGCTACGTTGTCGTGCGACTGGATGGTCGCAACTTCCACAAGTTCGTGTTCTTCGTCATCTCACGCTGAAGTCTGAAATGATTGACGTGTTTTTTACTTTTACGGCCTGTTTCAGGTTTGCAGAGCAGCACCGGTTCGCCAAGCCCAACGACGACAGGGCTCTGGGGCTGATGAGCAAGAGCGCCCGCTCTGTCATGGAGGAGCTGGAGGATATCACCATCGCCTACGGTCAAAGTGATGAGTTCAGCTTCGTTTTCAAGAGAACCACCACCTGGTTCAAGAGACGAGCCAGGTACACCTCACTTTCACTGACATTCCTATAAAAACCTCCACGTCGCGACGGTTCTGATCCGCTTCACTTTCTTCCCTCCGTGCTTGCTTTGCAGTAAACTCATGACTCATGTGGCCTCCCAGTTTTCCTCTTCGTATGTGTTTTACTGGAAGGAGTTCTTCGGAGAGCAGCCCCTCCTGTACCCGCCTGGCTTTGACGGGCGGGTGGTTTTGTATCCCACCAACCGTAACCTCAGGGACTACCTCAGCTGGAGGCAAGCAGACTGTAAGTGCGTCCTTGTGTGGATAAATCTGCAGGATAGATTTATCCACCAAATATTTGTCACTTGACAGCTACAAATACATATTTCTTATATTCTAGGTCATATAAATAACTTGTATAACACCGTATTTTGGACACTGGTTCAAAGAGGAGGACTCACTACAACGCAGGCCGAAGATCGACTAAAGGTAAGAGCAAAACAAAGAAGATGGGGTTACTTTCTCTGTATAGAGGAAATGGTATGAATTTTCAGACAGAAATAATATTTAGGCATACATAATATAGGTTGTAATCAGTTATAAGTGTATTAATTCAATTGTCATGTTGTGTCTAGTTGCCAGATATTCGAAGTTATGCTTCTTTTGGAACATGTCTAAGCCTATAAGAAGGGAGGCATTTATGTTCAAAATGGATCATAATATATTAAAATACTTTGGGTTTATCATCCCATCATTAATATAAAATGAAAAAAAATTATTGAGGTTTTTACATTATATATTTTTTTGTATTAAAAGACATCTTTTTTTTTGTTTGTTTTCTCTTTTTATCAACCACCCTGTGGAATTTTTGATCCCCCTTTATTTATTTGTGTTTTGTCACTTTACAGCTACAAACATCAGTGCAACATGAAGCAATGCATAAATGTAAAATGGAAATAAAATGATGTGCCATTTCCAAAACTTTCACAGTTGGACATCTTACTAGTATTTGTAGTTATCCTTTTAAAGAATGCTGCGATTATAGCTGCAAGTCTTTTAAAGTATGAATTTTGCATCTTTAATTATATAAATATTGAATCTGTTTTGACCAGTTATGTGTAAAATGTCTCATGCTCCACTTTCAAGTCTTCCAACTTAAATTGAATTTTGGGTCTGAGCTTTAACTAGGCCAGCCTAATAGTTCTATCTTCTTTTTTTGTTTATGTTTTGTAATCAGCCAGATTGATATAATCTTGTTTAAATTATTTTGTAGTTCTTTTAAGCGATGGAAAAAAAAAATGTCTGTAGTTTTGGAATGGGTCATCCAAGGCAGAAATATGTCCAATTTTTTTTTTATTATTTGGTTTGCTTTTACAGAGAATGTTTCTATTTTAAGCAACTTTACCGCCTGACTGTTTGACATTTTGTAGTAGTTTGGCTAAGTAGTGAAAAGCACAGCATGTTTTAGATGGCAACAGACTCTTCATAGCTTATTAATTGACACAAATAGACTTTAATACCTGCAGCTGCCATCAGCCATTAAAGCTGATGCAGCTGTTCTTTATAACTCATTTCATTTTCCAGTGCACATTAGGAGTCAACCAGAAACAACATCTAGACACCTCATTGTTTATAAAAAAAAAAAAAACAACATAAAACTCTCTTCTTGCCCAGTGTCTGTAAATTAAATCACTTTTAATATGTTGAAATATCTTAGTGGTTCGGTTGTAGTAATAAGTGCAACTTTAATGTTGGTGGTTGCTCTCCTAGAATAATTGAAGCATCCTGACACAATGCATCCAGCAGGTGGTGCTAGCCAGTAACGTGAACACCCATTCTTGCTTCCTGTGTATGAGTATATTTATTAATAAGTAGCTGAACTCAATTTAATATGTCTGTATTTATTTATTTATTTTTTGACAGGGAACATTAGCTTCAGATAAAAACGAGATTTTGTTCTCAGAATTCGACATCAACTATAACAACGAATCTGCCCTCCACCGGAAAGGCACCACCCTCATTTGGGAAAAGGTAGGATCCTCCGGAGTGATTACGTTTTCACGGTTTCCACAAACCTCTGTTTAGGATATCCCAAACGTGTACCCAACCAGCTCAGTTTGATATGAACCACAAGCTACTTTATGACTCGAATCTTAATAGTTTCTCTATTTTCCTAGTTAAATCGTGTCAGAAACGTTAAAATTTTCTTTATCTGTCTCTTTCTACCAAATGCTACAAGCATTTAGTAAAAGATTTGCTTGTGTGTCCAACTGTTTGTTCCTCATCCTTCCTTCTCTGACCTTGAACCTTAGTACTTTCACTTTAAAGTTGACTAAATAAAAACTGAGAAGTCGGGAATGTTGACATTTTTAGAGAGCAAAACTGATTTAACGGGTACATTTTGTCATAACGAAGACACATGAACTCAAACTTGCTGCAGACGGAAAACAGGCTTGGAATCAGCATAAGAAAGCTTCCCAGTAAAGGCCCGATTGTCTCTAACCTCTGTCTCTTTTCTCTGTCATGTAGCGGGACGAGACGGTTAGCAAGCGCATAAAGCGACCAAATGAGGAGGAGAAGCTGGTTCCTGTCACACGGAGCAGGAGGAAGGTGGAGATCTACCACTGTGACATAATCGGGGACCAGTTCTGGGAGGAACACCCAGACGTTCTAGAGGACGACACCTGACAACAGCAACTCTCCTTGGAAAAATGACTCTGAGCTGCATATTTAAAGCTGGCGCTCACAGACAGAGACTAAAGAAGCACAACAGCAGCTTCTTGAAACCAAACTGTGCTTTTTATCGTTCACAGTACATTCATTCTCCCAACAGCTGATTTGTGTTTCTACTTTTAATCTATTAAATCACGTGCATAACGATCTGTCAGAAAGTCAAATTACGCTCACGTTAATTTCTTCCCATCACTGCCACCTGATACTGAGGCCATTCAGGGGCATGCATGTCTTGCCTTCCTCCCCCCATAGGGTTACTTCTCTAAAAATATACCCTCATGCGATATCATGAATGGCATTCAAAATACTACCGATGCCTGATCGTTCTGCATGTCTAACATCACCGTGACACTCTGACGGAACAGCTCCTTTGCAGTGCATGCTGCCAGTCGGAGTTAATCTTGCAGAAAGCGACGGGTTTCGTAAAGAAAATAAATAAATACCAGTATGTAGAGGGAAAGAAAGGGAGGGGGGAGTAGAAATAATCCACTCTACAACAGAAAAAAATAGCCGTTTATTGGAGCCAAGGCACCCATGAAGAGACGTGAGTGGATTCAGTGGTGTGCTGTCATCAGGGCTAAGAATACCTCCCACACCCTGCATTCACCCTATCCCTCTGACATGCGCTGCGTGGCATATCACACTTCCAGCGGCTGCTGCACTCCTGGGGAGTTTGAAGCCTTACTGTATTCTGTTACTGTAGCTCACGCAACGGGAAGTGAAGTTTTCTGATGATCGGCAGAAGTTAATTCAGTCAAAAAGGATCATTTGATTTAACGAGATAAAGCAAATGATCTGTGTGTCCATATGCTGTGGCTGGTGGCTCTCTGTGTGTGCAGACAATGACTGGATAAATGGTCACATAGACCAGAGGAAACCCTAGAAACGAGAGCATGTTGAGACAAGTCAGCCTGTTATTTAAAGGCAGCATGGATATGCTGTGCTAATCCCCTTGTGCTACTGTCGTGGAAAAAAAAAAAAAAGGATCGGTTCTATTTAAGTTCAGCTTTTCACTTTTTCATTTTCTTTTTTTAGTTCTGAGCGTGGACGGCGACAGATGTGCTGACAGCATTCACTTTCTTCTACACCAAGTTTGAAGGGTCAAAAATTTTAAGAAGTTGAATACGTTTTAAGGCTCAGACTTGTCAAAAACCTGTGGTTAGTGTAATAAAATTGATTCCATCTCGTTTTAAAAACTTTGTTCTCCAGAGCCAATTTTTCCGTTTTTACTAGTTGATGCAATCAGATAATGTACAACTTGGAATTGTATATTAAACATTGTCTTACAACTTAAGATTCTTTTGAACTTTTTCAATTCATATGATGAGGTCTCTCTAAAAACTATTAATGTAGTGATTCAGAATTCCCACAATATTTTTGTTCACCTCAGGCTCAAATTTAAAGGCTTTTCTTTAACTTGTTAGTTGACGTAGTTTACGCATTCAGTTTTGAAGCATGTTGCACTTGTCAGGAAACAGAATCCTCTATTCAGTCTGTATTTAGTAGATTAAAGCAGCTTTACGTCGTGCGTTTTCGTTTAGTTTTCTCCGTGCTGCACAGATTTCAGGCTCAACGGAAGCAGAAGCCCAGTTCCACATCGCCGAAATAATTTCGGGTTGGGCTTGGGGTTACAAAACTAAACTCTGATTAGTTATATGATTGACCACGCTGCAACAAACAAACAAACGAAAGGGATTCCTGAAAAACCAAAAAGTCAGAAGAGAACATCTGGACCTGCTGTGTGAACGCAGCTATAGTTCGCTTATACCTGCGGCCGACTTGGCCTTTCACAGAAATATATATATATCTCAGCACGCTTCTCGTCTACAGTGGACGTGCTTTACGCGCCTAACATCCTTTCATCACATCCTGGGTTTGCCTTTCGACAGATCAATGTCGGTGAGAGGGGAGGGGTTGGAAATGACAGAGATGTTCTCTCTGCGCTCCGCTGCTCTCCAAGCATCCCGTTCACACTGCGCGCAGCGGCGGCGGCGGCTTATCGCGATGTGTCGCTGGCGACGTTTTCTCCATCTGCTGTGAAACGCCAGGCTGGCCCTCTGCTCGGTTCTGTGTCGGTGGGCTCGGTGGTTCGATCAGTAGAATGCGTCCCCCTCCTGTCGGTTCCGTGCGGCTCTCTCTGCGTCTCTGCCTCCTCACGGCGTTTCTGCACAGACTCTCCGCCGCTGCATCTGAAGACGCTGTTTCTGAGGGTGAGGCGGTTTTGTTTTTTGTTTGTTTGTTTGTGCACGTTGGGGGTTGTTTTCCAGTGCATTTTCGTCTTCAGGATGCGGTGTCAAACCATGCATTTGGTGGGAGATCTTTTTTTTTTATTAAATGGGAGAATGCAGCTTCCTCCTGTTCATTCCCAATTCTTTGTTATTCCCCTGCAGGAGAAAACAGTCAGAGCAGATTGAAAGGCGCCCTGGAACATATCCAGAGCTATGAGGTTACCTCTCCTGTGTGGCTGCATCCTAGTAGACACATCAGATCCGCCAACAAAGAGGTGTGTGTGTGTGTATGCGTGTGTGAGTGAGTGTGTGAGAAATGTTGGATGTCCATCCGAGTGACAAAAGAGCTGAGATTTGTTCTCATGTGAAGTCAGAGTGCGCTGCTATGACTGAGTCTCATCTGTTTTGTGTTTTCCAGCATCCGGCAGAGGTCCAGGTTCTGATCTCAGCCGAGGGCCAGCAGCTCAGAATACACCTGGAAAAAAACGAGTGAGTGTACCTTCAGGAAGCCACGGGATCGTCCACTAGAGGCATAAGATTTAGTGTGTTTTATTGATATTTTTTGGTGGCAGGCCAAAGTGTTAGATGATGTGCAAATCTATTTTTACAAATGAGGTTTTACCCCAAGAAAACTTGCTAAGTGGATGGGCGCTAGGGCAGTAGTCATTCATCCAGCGGCCCCGGTGTGTTTTTGAGTTAGAAAAATGTTTCAAGTTGACGGGAAATTTGAAAATATCACCTGATAATTATGCGTTGTTGAAGGTTTTGGAAGATTAACACCTGAATAACAGCTATAAAGTCTTAAAAAATGAAAATATTTGTAAAAGACTTTTAAAAAAGAAGCAATGCTTAGCCTGGTGGGGGCACAAATAAAGCCTGGTGGCCCGCCAGGCTTACAATGCACTGGAGGAAACCCTGACGAACAATAGTCTTAGAAGTGTGCCAGCCCCGTTTACTCGAATGCCCATAAATAGAATCCAGTCTGCAGCAAATTACTTCCATCAAATTAGTTTAATACAATTCAAACATGAATAACGTAATACCTTAATCTCAATAAAAAGTGTTCAGTGAAAGGCCTCTGGCTAGTGAACAAACAGCTTCATAAACACCAATTCAGTCATTCATTCATCTTAAAATGGAAAGAGTAGGCACAATTGGCTGCTTGGAGGAGCTGCAGAAACGCACAGCTCAGGAGGGAGAATCTAGCGCACTCCCCAAAGAGTGGCAAGAAGAAACTCACCGGTGAATGAAAGCCATAAAAAGTCCATGCCATGTAGTCGGCCGGTCAGATTGTTTAAATTAAACGTTTGGGACGACATTCCATGTGCTAATGTGTGGTAGAGAACTGAGCATCACTGTGAATCCACAGGGTGAAACATGGTGGCAACATCATGCGGTGGGGAGGCTTTTCTTAACCAGGGACAAATAAGTTGGGTTCGACGATGTTAATTGATCCAAGGTAAAAGGAATGAAGTCATTTTTTTCTACTGCGTCTTCATCTCAGCTGTAGCCTGTTTCAGCCGGATCCGTCTTCTGTTGCATCTTTGATTTATTACCCCTACGGCTAATTTGCTCCACATTTATTTTGCAAAAAATGTTGAGAGTGAAATTTTTCTCCATGGTGCTTGAGGCTTGAGAGCCATGGGATTACGGCGTCTCAGTCATCAGCGAGCCTTGCCCTTGTTTGTTTGACCAGATGTTAGCTGTGACATGGACGCGTTCACAAGGTCAGCGCCCCCGGTGGGTGATGACGAGCGGTGGGGGTCGTGGTGGGCGGCAGACACCCGATCCGTCCGCCTTGAGCTAACAGGAAGTGAGATTGTGCCTCTCCAGCGAACATCCTGCAATCTGATGTGGCGGTTCCTGTCCGCTAACAATGAGACGGTGGCAGAGCGAGAGCCGAGTGTCTTAACCCTTCCTTAATAGAAAGTTTGCAGGGTAGGTCTGCGTTTTACGATAAACGAGCTGAGGTTTTATCACTTGGATTTGAGCCAGCGGACAAGTGGACAGCAGAGCCTTTATGAGCGTCGGCCACGGAGTCTGCTTTTGCCCTCCAGTGTATTCCTCATTTGGATTCTCACACAGAGCCGCGTCTCCAGTGAGTCTGGATGAGCGTTCCTCCCTGACCCGCCCACCCCGAGGGATTTTCCCCTCCGCTCCATCGGCCCCGGCAGGTGGTCATACTGTTAGGGCCCCCCACCTCCCTCTGGGAGAAGGGATTTTCATCAATCACAACCTGTCCGACCATGTGTGGTCAGAAAATAGAGCGGGAACGATGACTGATGAAGTGACGACGCGTGTGAGGTTTTGACATAGATTAGATAAAAACTTGTACAGTCTGTTTCTCAGAACAGAATGGAGAAGGTGTTAAAGGACTCAAGAAGTGATTACAAGCTGTTCCAAGAAAGAGGAAATCCGACCTTTTAATCGCAACGAGGCAACAGCATTTTGAAATCAATTTTGTGCAATTTTTCTCTGTTCTGAACATTTCACTGCAGTGAGATAATCGCTGTCGTTTCACTTGCAAAAGGAAAGATATCCAGTTAGGACTTGTCCTGTTATATTTTTGTGTGTTTGTACTAGCGCGGATGCTGCACTTCACTTACAGACTGCATTTGCTCCATTACGCGAACATATTTAACAAAATTTACGCTCATCATAACTTCGAACACTTAATTGGATCCTTGAGAGTTTTATTGTGTCTCGCAGCCCATCTGCCTGGCATGCAGATTTACATTTAGTGCACTCACACAGCGTAAGCTTGCCAGCTCATGCTGTTAAGCACCACCAGTCATCATTTTTACAACTTTTCCTTTTTAATTCTGTCTGGGTTTGGAGCTTATTGTCCCCGTCTCTGTAACAGCAAAATCTGTAGCTCAAATTTGATTTTACAAACTTTTCCTTTTCTAAGTATTTATTCAGAGAAGAGGAGGAAGTCGAGAGGAATGTTGCCTGAGAAGTGTTGCTTGAAGACCCATTAAACCGGCACCTTTCCCAGGGATTTAAAAGCGCTTTTTGCTGATTCCAGGCTACTAAATTTCGCCATACCGGGACCTTGAAATTTTTGTTAAGTTAATGCTACACATGTGGTGATGTAGAAAGAAAGCTGAAATACTCCAGCAGCATTTATAGTTGAGTGTTATCATGAACAATTCCTCAGTGCTGGGACAAAACTTGCTTCAAGCAAATAGACCTTTTTTTTTTTTTTTTTTTGGCACCTTCATCAGTTTCCTTCGACATGGCTCACCCATGTTAGATATCCTAGCTCTAATACGTTATGATATTTGGTCTTTCAATAAATATTTATCATTCATATCTGACTAATCTTTGCTGTTGGACAAAAGGCCCTTGAAGTGAAGAAAACCAACACTGATACTGCTGTTTACTAAAGTATTGTGCTCCAATAATTCCAGCCTTAATTGACTATATGTGCTTACTTTAAAACCAAAGATTGTTTCCTGTGTGCCATTTCAAACCAGTTTTAACTTTCTTCTTTGACCTTTGACACGGTATTTCTGAAATACTCAGATCATCCCGTCTCCCACCAACAACAGAAATCTCTTGACTCCTCTTCTGTCCCGGTTCTGGTGCTTTGCTAGAACTCCAGCATATCATCCTCACCACATATATATGCCTAAATGCATTGAGTGGAACAACACGTTTTGTTCAAGTTCCTACAGAACAATTCTGACACTTTCTGGAAAGAGCTTGGCTTTTTTTTGTTTTTGTTTTTCACCCTTTAATTTTAGCACTAGTTTTATGTTCCCCAATTCGCAAGTCATTGCTTCGCCCCTTTGTTTCCCAACAAAGACTCCCAAAGTACTTTTGATTCGTTTCCAATGCTGAGACACAAATGGCTGTGAGACTAAAAGCTTGCGTAGGGAAGACTGCAGTTTGTGTTGGGGGGAAGAGATTAACGATTTTTCAGGAGCAGCCAGATGAAACGCTGCCAGTAAATACATGCCGTGGTAGTATCCTGGCTACATCTCTGTGTCCTTTCTGCAGCCAAAACT